TGAGCCAACAGATTGAGGGAAGGGAGCAGGTTATGTGCACAGATAGCCAAGGGATAACAAGGAGCAGGTGAATGCAAAGAGTGTTGATTGTAAACCAGGGTCAAGCTCGGGCAGGTGAGGTGAGACAGAACACGAAGTCCTTACAAAACAAATCAAATCAAATTTTATTTGTATAGCGCCAAATCACAACAAAAGTCATCTCAGGACACTTTACAAAGTAAGGTCTAGACCTTACTGTTATCACTATTATTACATAGGGAAAACCCAATAAACCCCCCTGAGCAGCACTTGGCGACAGTGGGGAGGAAAAACTCCCTTTAATGGAAGAAACCTCCGACAAACCCCGGCTCTTGGTGGGCGGCCTTCTGCCTTGACCGGTTGGGGTGAGTGGATGGAGGAGAAAGAGAAGGAAAGAGAAGCAACAAGGCACAATAAACAATCAAACAGTGATCAGGTTGATGTGGCTGGTGACTGCTCATAAGAACCATAGAGCTCCAGGGCCAGGGCAACCTGCAGAAAGGTACAGGGAGAGAGAGAGGACACACTACGGGAGAGAGGAGACACAAAGTTAGTAATGATCATGGGGCCCCCCAGCAGCCTAGGCCTATAGCAGCATAACTAAGGGAAGGCTCAGGGTCACCTGATCCAGCCCTAACTATAAGCTTTATCAAACAGGAACGTCTTAAGTCTAATCTTAAAGGTAGAGAGGGTGTCCGCCTCCTGAACTGAGACTGGGAGTTGGTTCCATAGGAGAGATGCTTGATAGCTAAAGGCTCTGCCTCCCATTCTGCTTCTGTGGACTCTAGGAACCACAAGTAAACCTGCACTCTGAGAGCGCAGTGCTCTGTTAGGATGATACGGCTCTACGAGGTCTTTAAGATACGATGGAGCCTTGTCATTAAGGGCTTTGTATGTTAGGAGAAGGATTTTAAATTCTGTTCTGAATTTTACAGGGAGCCAGTGGAGAGAAGCTAATATGGGAGAGATATGATCTCTCTTGCTCGTTCCTGTCAGTCCTCTGGCTGCAGCATTTTGGATTAACTGGAGGCTTTTTAGGGAATTATTGGGACATCCTGATAGTAAAGAGTTACAGTAGTCCAGCCTGGAAGTAACAAATGCATGGACCAGTTTTTCAGCATCACTTTGAGACAGGATGCTCCTGATTTTTGCAATATTGCGCAGGTGAAAGAAGGCAGATCTAGAGACTTGGATTTTGTGTGATTTAAAGGACATATTCTGATCAAAGATGACTCCAAGGTTCCTCACAGTAGTACTGGAGGCAAGAGCTATGTCATCTAAAGTAACTATATGATTAGACAGCAGATTTCTAAGGTTTTCAGGCCCAAGTACAATGACTTCAGTTTTGTCAGAGTTTAGAAGTAAGAAGGTGCAGGTCATGCAGGCCTTTATGTCTTTAAGACATGCTTGAAGTTTGACCAGCTGATCTGATTCATTTGGCTTCATAGATAAATATAACTGAGTATCATCTGCATAGCAATGGAAATTTATGCTGATAATATTGCCTAAAGGGAGCATGTATAAAGTGAAGAGAATTGGACCTAACACAGAGCCCTGTGGAACACTGTGACTAACTTCAGTTTGTGTGGAACATTCGTCATTAACATGAACAAATTGAAATCTTTCTGATAAATAAGATTTGAACCAACTTAGCGCAGTTCCTTTAATCCCAATAACATGTTCAAGTCTCTGCAGTAAGATGCTGTGATCAATGGTGTCAAAAGCAGCACTGATATCTAAGAGGACAAGTATGGAGACAAGTCCTTTGTCTAAGGTTAAAGTCCTGCATCAAAACATTATGGACTCTTCAGCTCTTGATGGCTTTTGAGTCTGATATTAAAACATTTCCAAAGAGAATCATGACAAATTCTCATATATATGGATTTATTTTAAATATGTAAATGTTACGGGTCCCAGGCATGGTGGCCACCATAACAAAAAGAACAGAGAAATCAATCTGTGAAATAAAGGTAAGAGCAATGATGACAGGAGCACTTGGATTTTTCTCCATATTACTTCTATTAAATCATCTGTAAGTCATACAAAACATACAATCACATACAATCTAGTGCGCCAATGTCCAGTACCATTAATAGCTTTAAAATCTAAGTAAAGTGCATTTCTATCACAAAATATCTGCCATTACTCAAAACTACATGTCCTTAGTCAAAACTACTATCTCTGATCATAAATGTTAGATGGATCAAGCCACTGGTCTCATGTATTTAATTTTTTCTTCCATAGTAAATTGTACCTACTTGACCATGTTCCTATGACCGCGATTAGCCACAATTTTACACCTCATTTGGATTCATTTAATTGTCCTTTTGTTTGGTTACTGCAGGTTTGAAAACGAGTTCAACAAGGTGCACAATGGACCTTCGATATGTGATCCACGCATACATAATACCTTCACTGATAAACCCTAAAAATGCTCTGTCCACTAGACAAGGCAATTTCAGATTCATACATCACTACTGTGTAACATAAAACTATACTTCCTGAATTGATCTTATGCAACCATTAAATATTTTTCTGTATAAAAAGCACAGGTGTTAGTAATAGCATTAACAATAGCTCTGTTCTATTCAAATAACGATGAACCTGTAGCAGCAAAATGAAATTCTGCCATCATTAATGGTTGTTTTTAATTTGTTTTATTTATATATGCTTTTTCTACTGAGACATCAACATTTCTTAAAGCCAAGCATGCACTGTAACTGTAATGCCTGTTACAAGTGCAATAACACTTGCATTTCCCTTGTATATTGAGCAAACATATTTTTAAATTGCATTTGCTCCCATTAATGAGAGAAAGTACCTTAATCCATAGTCCTGTGTGTCTCACCTAGTTTGGTACGATTTGGTGGCTGTTTCACCCTCCAACATGAACGAGAGAATCTCTAGGCATCAGAGAAAGAGGAGTTTAGGGATTAAGGCACAAGAGGAGGCTCACCTTTTCCACTGAAGTGCCGGACCACAGGTGTCACGCCGCAGGTGACGGAAAGAAGAGATGTGAGGGAGGGCCTGGGTTCCTGGGGCCTGGGAGGTTAAATGTACTGTGTGCCCCCCTTCAGGAGACAACAACAGTCAGTCTGTTATAATCAACCAAAGTGAGACACAAGAAGGGACTACAGAAACAGAAGAGGTAGCAGAACATACTGAAAATGCTGAGGAAATGGAAAAGACAGACAGAGGAGGGGAGAGTGCAACAGTGCTCTGTGGTTCGTTTACCGATGAGTACCTTTGAGGTCGTCAGCCATATCTGAGTATTCTGCAGCATCTGATTGGCTCAAAGAAGAACATGTTCTTTCTTCCGGAAATAACACCAAATCCTTGTTTGTGCCAGCAGTACATACAATATGACATGTGGTATTAAAAATAAATGGCTCTTCTTCATGTGATTGTGCTTTTCTCTTTTATAAGCTCAGTATCACATTATAGAAAACAGCTACATGCATTCACAATGCCCGTAAAACATGAAGAGCTACAATAAATTTTTTAATGCATCCACTCAGTTCCAGTTCTCATAAGATCATGCAGTTATATCGTGGATTTGAGAGCAAATCTGTGTACTTGCTAAAATAATTAACTTGATAACCATAACTGCTATGAGGTGCTGCAACTATACTATATGCACAGAATGTAAAGGCCCTTTAAACAAATTTGTGATTTCTGATAATGGGCAAGTTTGTTTCGCCATACATTGACTTGTATAGTCAATCTCTTATTTTTATAAAGATTAAAATATATGGCAGTATAGTAGAAATTACATGTTAAAAGAACATGAAATTATAAGAACAGAGAAAACACAGAATAAAATTCATGATAGTGAGATTCTCCAAAACTCCTGATCTCAATAAATAATTCTTACAGCAAAGAAATATGAGAGTCCTTGGTCATATCAGAGTGTTTATCCTTTGCAGATGATGTCCTCCTTTTAGACATGCTACCACTGAGACTGACTGTGACATGGCATTTAGCCATTATAACATCTTGCCAATTGAATTGGTTCCAAGTCCTACAATCATATTTACACAGTTAAGATAAAATTGAGTACATTTTAGTTTCTCTAAAACTAAAAGGTATTTCCAAGTCGTTCTGCTCTGCAATAAATTTCAGCCCTCAGCAACTCAATAAGATCAACTGCATATTATGTTCATTTGGGGCTCTTGGTCCTCCACACTCATTGAAAAACCCTATGTAATTTTATAATCATGTGCATCTTTGCTGCCTTTACATAGATCAAATATTCATTTTCAAATATTAAACAATGTTTCCGCCGCTGTGTACAATACTAGTTTTTACACTGCAACTTTCTCTTCCATATATTACAGATTTGCTGTAAATTGTAATGAAAACTCTCAGACTTGTTTGTGAATAAAAAAGAGAAGTTGAGTTTATTGTTAGTTTTATTTTGTTTTCATGACTATGTCAAATGTCTTGACGGTTCTCATAAAACACATTCACAAGTTCACAAAAGTTATGTTATTTACAGTGAATAAAGTATTTATAACACTTCAAAAACTTAACACAGTAAAGAGTAATTAACTGAAGCAAATACTAATGGAATTTGCTTTTGTTTATAAAAGCTACTAGATGTATATTATCAGTATACTATTCATTTATAATATCTTTTCCCTTTTGTCATTACACCATAAATTGCTGGAGACAAGCATGAATGTTCCAAACAGTAATACTCATAACTTAAAATAGCTGCACATTAAAAATATAAAATTAGATACTCATGAATACTCAACAACTGGAATATTGTCTTATCACTTGCAAAATGTATAAGTGCTAAACTATTTGCTGCACTCCTTGGTGAGGTTATAACTCATAACTATTTCCATGTAACAGTAGGGAAGGTTAGGGAGGTCCAAGGTGTACTAAACTAGTCAACAGTGGTGCTTGAGGGCTGTTGTGCACACTTATATTAATTTTTCCCCATCTTCCCCCACCTTCACACATAAAATGCCACCCATGTTTTTATTCTTTATTAAGAATCAGGAAAATTTCTTAAGGCTGACAGGGTGACCGTAACAAGGACCACAAAACATTTAATGAACTTTGACAAGAATTTTCCTTCCTTTTAAAACAGAGCTTTCCATCTTGTTTTAACAACTTTTTTAACAAAGTCAAATAGTTCCTACAGTACCAACATTATTTATAGGTAACAGAATGTGAGAATGCCGTTACATTAAGTTGTGAGGCATTTTATGTGTCCTAGGTTGTCATTAGCCATTTTTCACATTATTTCTTTGCCAGTAGACAATATCAATAACCAGACATTTGGCCACAGAGTATGTCATAAGAATACTCAAAGACTTTGTATAACACATAATACTGGGGCTTTTCATTGCAACACTTTAAGCCCTTCTACAATAGCCAGTGATTGGTTATTATTTTTAGGGCAGGCTGTGTTAAAAGCGTCGGCCACCAGGGGGCCCTGGCCACCTCTGGCCTCTGCCAGGTGGGGGGTGAGGCGGAGGAGAGACTGGTCCATTGTGGTAGCTGTGTAAAAGGATAAAATCAAACATTGGGTTCTTGGCTTTAGCCAATAAGGGGCACACTCTGATAAGAGCAGCCATCTGAACTATTCTAGTCAGGGTTGTTATCCCCTCTCAATTACTTGTGTACCTTTGAAAGCCGAAACACAGTGAAGTGTCTTTTCATTGTCATTACTCCATGCACTATTTAAAGCTTAAAATAGCTGAGCATAGCTATCATTTTTATTTACTAAGTGACTGAATGTTCTTTGACTCAACACTTGTTGTAGTAAGTCAAACTACTTGAACAAAAAGCTACATCACTTCCTCTCCAAACTTAGAAAGAAATGTGATAATTAGAGGCCAAGTTAATGTCAAGAAAATCAAGCTACATGAAGCTTAAAGGAAAGGGACAGAAAGGACTTTGCAACTGTGTCACAACCCTCAGTCTTCTTGCTCACAGTTTACTGCATACTTGTATCACAGATCTAAAGGAATACAGCTGTGTAAGCACATCTCAAATGCTTACCCGATTTATCTGAAATCAATGTTATCAGATTTTAAAAAGTGTGCAAACAAAGTGCAGAGAGTTGTGACTTGCAGTTTTAAGCATGAGATTAATATTCAAACAGCACTTACCCTCTTGGGCCACGGGGGTGGAAGTGGCGGGGAGGTCCAGGTGGCATCATGCCACGGCCTCGAGGGTGAGGTGGACGCCCTCTGAAACCAGGAAAGCCCAGAGGAGGAAGAGGTGGCGGGGGTCCATGCCTATAGACACAGAGAAGCATAACAGTAAATTGTGTACTTTTTCTGTTAAAACTTTAAAGTTAAAACCTCATTTAGTGATCAACATGAGCCACCGCTGGTGCAAATGAGCCATGTATTAAGGCAACCCTCCATCTGTCTTGTACATTTAACTGCCAGAGCAGCTCCATTGGTGTTAAATGGTTACCTGGGTGGGAAGGGGCCTCTGAGGTGTGGGGGAGGGGGAGGAGGAGGGCCCATACCCATTGGCCCACCCCTACCTCCATGACCTCTGAGGTCTGGGTAAGGTCGCATCGTCCTGATGCCCCTGCAAGGGAAAGGCAGACAAATTATCCAAACTGATAAGAGTTCAGCATTTCAGGTGTACCCAAATACACATATAGTAATAGACACTCAAAAACTGAACGTTTCCCTTATAATGGTTGTTTTATAACCACACCATTTTTCTGCATACCACTCATGTAATAAGACAGTGATGTAAATATTAATGCTATGTATATTTGAGGACTAAAGTACCTCATGGGTGCCAGTCCATTCATGGATCCATTCTTCATTCGACCCCTTCCGGGCCCAGGTGGACCAAACCCCTTCAGCATGCCCCGCCCACCACGCATGCTACCACGACTCATCCGACCCCCTCGACCACGGCCTTTGGACCCACGACCCCTGAGGATATTTTTAAACACTAGGCTAAATAACAGAAACTTCCTGGAGAATGAGGAAAATGTTATAATGCCACAAATTCAATCATGTAAAGCTGTAACAGGCAACTCTGCGCACTAGCGCACAACTAGCGAGATAAATTTTCAAGTTTCACTCCAATACCTAGAAATCAGGCAGTGCAACGATAAACTAGACAGCATAATTGCATTTGACAATCTGTCTGTTATCATAAGATATCAGTAGATGAGACAAGACAACTGCTGAAAAGAGAAGTTTTCATTGGGGCGTGTATTCACTGACTGCTCTTTATAGACAAATGATAAGAAGCCCTTGTTTTCTACATGCGGGTTAAAGGTGCATTAACTAACATTTTGCACACTGATAAATCAAAAGAAATGGGACAGGATGTTGTGCCTCTGAGCTATACTAACCCCTCCCTAGAACACTCCTACAGTGCCTGCCTACAATGTTTGTTACTATTACAGCTTTTCTAAATTGTGTTTAGAAAATACAGCCCATAAAACTAGCCCCACTTGCCACCTAGTGAAAATTAGAGGAAGCGTTCTTCGAACTGTGAGTAAGTCTGAAACAGTAGCTGTCAGCCCGAAGAGGCCTCATTCTTTTGCACAGAGTGGGACAAAGAGCAAAGAGCAGACACCAAGGTTAACATCAGTTTGGCTTTTTGAGATGGAGTGTTAAAAGCAGCCAAAAAGGCTCAAATTTGATTCAGATGTGGGGTGGGGGTAGGATCTGAAGCTAATGAGTTTGTCTTGGTCATATTAGCGAGCTTGCATGATCATGATTTTACCTTTGTATTGAATTAATATGTTTCTAATTCCAGAGTATTTCAAGCCTTGTGCAACATTAGTGCTTTGTGTGACATCGGCAGTAACCAGAGAATTCTACTGGACTGATTTGCTCATTCATTAGGTAATGCTAGCTTTAGACTGGAGGCTGCATCTTGCACAACCAGTTACCCGAATTTTACATTGTCGCTAGGAAACAAGATGTGATGGGAGGGCCAAAGGGTGGTTAGGAGTGGCTGTTTGTTTTGAGTCTTACTAGACCCTCTAGGCTGAAAAGAAATTAGGTAGAGCAGCTTTAAAATTATTCTTACATAATATAATAAAACACATTATTATATCATATATATAATAAACTACTAATTATAGTATAAGGCTGTCAGAAAAAAGAAAAACAGGACACACCTGGATTTGTTTTCAGTTACAGATTTTTCAGATTCAGCCGTGGAAGTCTTGGAGGTTTCAGTCATTGTTTTTTCTGTGTCTGCATCCATCTGAAATGATTCAGTTCAATAATTATATACAGAACAATGGCAATTAGTTTAATATTAGTATTTAGTAAAAGCAACATTCAGTTTATTACACACAGGACCTAAAAGACGCACATTAGACAACATATATGGCAAACTTACAAACATATTTTCCACTTCCACGTGCAAAACATATTATTCAAGCTAGGTAGAAAGAAAAATTAGGCTATTTTACCATTTTAAAAATAGATTAATGCAGAGATAAATTGCAGGTTTCCTGCAGCTATAACGTAACTGAGCATGATTTGAACAAACAGCAGCCTCATTCCCAAAGATATATCTGATATGGAGAAAAAAAGCCATAAGTAGATCCTTTGGTTATAATGCTCAATCATAAACCACATGTTTATATTTTTTAAGTGACTGCAATGTCACTGAACAGGCTTTGGAAACATAAAACCACAGTGTTGCATTCACTGCATTGTTCACTGGCTGGATGTGACACACTGTGAGTGCAACACACTGAATGCATTACACTGCAGCAGGTGACAGATTTCTGAGTTAAGCATGGGAAGTGCAAGTCAAAACTGATAGTGGGGAAATTATTAATAGCCCCAAAGCTTAGGTCACTAGACTACTGTGTGAAGTGCCATCTGTGCAACTACTAGACTGGAAGGTGTGGAGAGAAGAGTAGTGATACAGAGATAGGTAAGGAAGGAGAGCAGGGGGGTTAAAACCAAGCAGATAACTGTTAAGGAATAACATTATTCCTCATCAGTATTATAGATGAAATGCCACAAGATATGGTGAGGTCAACATAAGCTTCCAACTTATGTAGGTGCAAAAACACTTACTCTTCAAAGGTCGATGCAATATGAATTTCAACACATCTATATCCTCGTTGGTTACTACTTGTATTTACATTTTGTATAGAGATTTAAAGGATTTTGTGTAGCAGTGTCACTGCTTGGTATATATTATCTCTAATGTATACGACATTGACAAAGTCTGCCTGTAAAGACCGTAAGCGCGCCATGGAAGACTAGCACATAAACGCACTATCACACATTGGGGAGAAGATGGCACGTCAAGCCTCACGGAAACATTTTTATCCTGATCCTGAGTGGCGTCTGGAGCCCTGGGAGCTCTTAAACATTATTCTAGGGCCGGCAAAAGGAGCCTTGTACAACAAATACACTACTTAATACCGTTTAAATTCTAAGGCAAAATGGTGAAATGGCCTCGTCTAATTCCCGTTATTAACATAGTGTAGCGTCTAGCAAACGTGACATATACTATATACTGTCTCCACATCAGTTGCTTCGTTATAATGTTAGATAGTATTCAACGTTTTCACGGACACCTTAATTAAAAACACGAAATGAGTCAGAAAACAAGCATGTATTAGGCTACGTTGGTCATGTATGAAAGGGGCGTTTCTGTTTTCCAAACCCTTTGGTGTAAAGACGGAAAGGCTTACTTCGCTTGTTTGTGCAGGCGAGGTAGATTCAAAAAGTAATATAATCCCCCTACTTCCCAATAAAATAAAATATATTAGAAATATTTAAAAATGTATACAAAAATTCCCGCGGTTTCTTTATCTCCTCTGCGCTTTGAAATGGCTGCTTCGTCAGACTAGATCCATGCCAGGTTGGGATTTCTTTGTGAGGAATGTATTATTTGGAGGTCACGCCCACCTGGGAGAATGCTGGTGTTGGATTGGCTGGTTATTGCTGTCATTCAGACCGAGTTCTGTATTCTGGCATCCTGATTGAAGGAACTGACTGACGTGCGTTCCAATTGTTGTTCAGCCTAAAGACTGTTCATTAATTAATTGGGCCACACAGGTTAAACACAAAACACATATTTATTGTGGATGTTTGAGTAGAATAACCTGCATCTGGCACATGGTAAACATAGTGGATTCGTTTCACAATGTGAAATGTTTAAACAAATCTAACAAATTACAGCGAAGAAAATGTGAAGAATTTGATAAACAATTTAGGCTACCAAAAAAAACTGCATTTTTTAAAAAGCTTTCATACAACACATCTTCATAATATTACGCAGATAGTCCTCATACCAGAAACAAAGCACACGTGATTAAAAACAGTATGATGAGGTTTCTCTGAATTCTATTTGAACACAAAACCGGAATAGCCTATTAGAGGGAATTTTCATTAGTAAAGCTGTATTTCATACCCATTTCATGTATTATACTGAATTCATAATTTCAACAAAGACAGACTCATATAGCCTATACAAAAAGTGCCCCTTAAACAATATCTACACCATGAGCAGGGCAAAAAGAGTAAAAATCTGTAATTTAACGGTAAAGTTATCTTAAAATCAGGCTAAACCTGATGCGTAAAAGTTGTCCATTTTGCGTCCGTTACGCACGGCTCAGGATGTCTGAAAGCTTGTTGATGTATTCAATGGTGTATTTGAGGGTTTGTATCTTGGTCAGGGGCTGGCCTTTTTTGCTGTAGTCCGGCGGCAGGTAGTCACGGAGCTGGTGCAGAGCCTCTGCAAGACACCTCATCCGCATCTTCTCCCTCTCGCTGGCCTTCATGCGTCTTTTGATGGACATCTTGGGCTTGTTTTGCCTTTGCCCCGTTGGAGTCGTCCTGCGCCCTGTGATGCCAGAGGACAAATCCTTGATCTCCTGAAGCTGGCTAGAGTAGCACATCTCCGGTGAAGAGCACAGTGAGTCCATCAAGAACTCCGGTGAGGTGGAATGAAGTGGCTCCTGGTCTTCTCCAAAAATACCCTCATGGATCTTCCATTCAGATATTATTTCATTTGTAGCAACCTCCATGTCCATGTTAGCGATATCCGGAGACTTCCAGACGTTCATGCAGAGGGGATGACATTCAGGGTAGATAACAGGCAGAGTCTGTGAAGGTGATTTTTGTCAAAGCGTTTTTATACAGAAGCAGATCTCCGGAGGTTTATGAGTTCACAGCTCAGGCGAAAAAAAGTTCAAAGAAAACCTCAAGTGCCAAAATGCGACTTTCCCGACGTCATTCGTTATCACTGGGGTGTGAATAAGGCTAAATAGACGGATAATGTGATAGAAAGAAAAATAATTAGATTCCTTCTGTGGGTAATTACTCTTTAAAGTCTGCAGGACGACAGTTATCGGTTTGATGTGACCTGTCACATGGAGAATTAAGAGGCTGTTTCACCTGAACGCTTCACATCTCACTGGCAAGTCAGGTATACTTATCTTCAATCGGGAGCTATAACCAAAAATATAGGGAAAAATAGTTTTGAACTTATTCCAAGTAGCTTGACAGAACCTTTTTTTTCTAAAAGATATCCACTATTTCAATGCAAATGAAATGAAAAAATACCTTGAAAATGTTCATTTTTTTAATCCAATTTACCATCAATTGTGAACAGTTCCTTCTACTTACCACCCTGAGTTTTCCTACTTGTTTCCTATGCAGTTGCACTGGGAATGTTAGATTTCCAGCCCCTTTTTTTTTTTTAAAGAGTGAGCACAAGGACTGAGCTGTTATTTGGGCAGGGGATGTAGCTGGTACCAAGCTCCTGCCAGACCTTTCATGTCTGAAAAGGTGAGTAAGGCCTCACTCAGGATCAAGGAGACAAACTCTGCTCAGCTGTAAAACCAATGGCTGAGCCCCAACTGCAGTGCCTTCTCTCTCTAGCTTTGTGAAGTGACATTAAGGTTGTCAAACAGCAATGGGAGGCAAAAAAAAAATCAGATGTGGGGCTATTAAATACCATATACCTTTCACCTGATTTACATAAACCATTACATACAGGATTAATTATATATATCCTATAAGAAGTTATTTAAACAATAAAAGATTTGTGCATGAGCCATGCAATCAGTCAAACATTTCAATGCCACAACATACATTCCAATAAACATCTCATGGCACACCTTTAATAAAAGCATGTATATTTCAATACTTAAAACTGAACTATTTACAGAAACAGAATTTTCTTGATTAATTGTTTGGTATATAAAATATCAGCACACAATAAAAAAAATATTGACTTTATTAAGACTAGAAAAGCTGCAAATTCTCATATCTGTGAAGCTGAACCATCAAAACTTTGACATAGTTGCTTGAAAAATGACTTGATATGGTAAATAAAAGTTGCTGATTAATTTTCTGTCTGCTCACCGATCAGCTAATTGCTGTCTCTACTTTAAAATGCCACTAAAGGGACCTTGAATTAATATTTTGTTGTTAAACTACTATTTCTAAGATTGAGAATAAATGTTCACGTTTAGCATAAAATAGTTTTATATTTTACAAGTGCTGCTCACTTCAGGAATTTCAGTTTCAGTCTCTCTGCCAGTGGCAGTGGACTCTCATTGCAAATCACTGAATCATCGCTATCAAACACAGTGACAGGTGATGCTGGACTCTGAAGGAACAAGTCACCATCCACAACAGCTAGTGAGACATCCTGGCATTTGCTTTGAGTGGATGAAGGCGTGCTGTTTATGTCAACATCTACACTGTGTTTCTGAGAGATTAGTTCTAAATGCTCAATGCAATTAGTTGGTTTCATTGTTGTTTTGGCAGTTTTAGATCCAGACATCAGTTTCAAGGGGGAGGCTGTAGTGAAGCTGCCCTTGGGCTTGCTTATGTGTTTGACATTAGCCTTTCTTTGAGGTCCAAACCTCTGGTTCTCTGTGTCACTGTCATCACTAGATGAACACACGCTCAGACAAACACTCTTCTTGGTGGTCTGCAGCACATCACTGTCCTCATCATGGAGCCTCTGTCGTGGGACAGCAGATGCTCTAAAAAATCTATGTTTCTGAAGAGGCTTTTGGGGTTTTGCCTGGCACTTATCCTGTATGGTTTGCATTTTTGGTTGTTTAGATGTTTTATTTTCAGTTTTTGCTTTAAGAGTTCCATGTTGGCTCTTGTGTGCTTCTTTTTTGTTTACACCAGAGTCCTTCCCTGTCACTTTATTGACATCGCTACCCTCAATGGAGATCTGTCTATTTGGTTTTGATTCTGACGTGCAAGTAGAAATGTGTCTAAGAGAGGCTAACTCATTGTTAGGTTGTTTTGACCCTAAATCACTGTCTACCTTCCTCTGGCTTAGAGCATTAATTGTGTACCTCATGAGCACCCTGTCTCTTAGCGGACACTCTGTGTAACACAGCTGTGGAGCAGATCTGGTGACTGGTTGTTTGGCATCATTTGAGGTTTTCTGCATGGTGTTTTCACTCTTGACATCACTGTCTGTGGTTTGACTTAGCCTGGGATCTGTGGTGTGGTTTGTTGCTGTTTGTGGAGGTGGAGAGGATGTGAAGGACAAAGCCTCCCAGTCAATATCACTGAGTTGAAGAGCATCAATAACAGCAGAGACAGATGGTGAGGCAACAGCCTCTGATTCTGCATGAGACAAAGGAGTGCTGGGGCAATCACCCAGCTTGCTATGGTCTTCTTTTGCCTTCCAGTGTTGTTTATGGTTCACTGGAGTTTCCAAAACCACCACTTCTAGTTTTCCTGCGTCTGAAATTGTAGGGAGCTGTGTTTGTGGCTGAGCAGTAGCTTTGGCAGAAGAGGAACTTTGAACGGTCATCTGAGCCAAGAGGTCTGAAATACCATCAGATATATCAGATGGCTTCTCCTGGTTTCTCTTCGATTTCTTCTCTGTAAAGGAAATTTAGATCAAATGTCAATCATTTGAAATTTTATACAATGAAACATCAGTTCACAGTTATTTTGAACAATTTCACTCTGTATCTCTTGACTGTAAACCTCGTTCAGTTCCACTGACTACTTTTCCTACATATTAGGAAGTGGAGCTCTATAGCCCTGATAGCCAAGTGGAGCAAAATACAACATGTATAAAGTGATAGTGACGCCTCTTGCCAGCATCAAAGCCTTTGGTGTGAACTAGCTGAGCTGCCAAACTCTACATTTTCAGGTGTCAGAGCTGCTGTAATAGACAGTCTTGAAAAACAAGCCAAATGTCCAGGTGCCTTTGATCATGACACCCTTGTCAGCACATGCATTTCCTTAAAGTGGACATTTTAAAGTATTGTCTTACTTTTGTTCTTGTTCTCTTCAGCCAGAGTTTTATCTCTCAGGTAGCTTTCCACCAGCTCTGGGAAGGCCACACGGAAGAGAGACTCTTCCTCCACAGTCCTCACCTCCTGCTGATTGTCTGCAAGCTGATCCTCATGAAACGTGTAATGTACTGCAGAACAAAAAGCACAAAGGTCAGGTCAGATTTGCTTTCAGTAAATGGCTGTTTCTCTTTTTATCTTAATTAATCCAATAGGAAAATTAAAAGCATATGAAACTGTGCTGGTACAGTAACATAGCTACAGAAAAACACAACACCCGCCCTGGGAGACACTTACAGTTAGGTGATTCAAAATGTGAAAATAGCTGAAAAGAAACATATTTGTGGATTTATTTTGAGAAAACCTAACTTGACTTGCAGGTGCACTGCAACCCCAGCAGACAAGCAGGGAATGTATAACTACGGCATAAGCAACTACATTTGTAGTACAACATGCAAGCATTTTAGCCTTCTTAAAGCAGTGAGTGTAGTGCGCTAATGGATTTAGCCACTTCACATCCTAAACATTTGCCCCAATTTCCACCCACTTCAGCAATATTTCCATCTAAATTAAGATTTTTACTACTATTACTATGACTAGTGAAGCACTTTGGATACAAGCACTTATTAATCTGATAGAGACACGTTTCCAATAAAAAAACCATACATTTGTAATCCATGACGCCAAGTACTGACATTATAATAGTGAGTAATTAAGGGGATTTACCAGATGTTTCATATCAATGATCTAACCCTTTATTTGTATTAATACTGTGATGAGGAACTGCATTCTAGATTGAGACTTTCTCAGGAGGGCTTGTTAGTGAAGTGGACCTTGATACGACAGATTTCCCAGCCTGGGGAGGAAGCCAGTTTAGCACCTACTGGCTGCTGTGACTGATCTGTCACCTCTGAGCCCCACCTCACAGCCAGTCACTAACAGACAACCCGTTGATGAGCAGTCCGCATCCCAACCTCCGCTTCATGCAGCTGTCATGTCACTCAACCCAGGGGATATTTTCTTAAATACTGATTTTTCCTCTGATCTTCTATTCTGAATCTAAAAGGATGTTCACTTGTCGAATGAAAGTGTAAATAAATGTTTAAAAACAGACTCAAACTGACCCGGGGCGCTCCAGATGACTTCAAAGCAAGCAACGCCATTCCTCACTCTTGGCTTCAATATTCTTGTGTGGGGGGAAAAAAAACATAGAAATTGTTGTTCATTATGAGTGGATACTAAAATAATTTCCTATAATAACAGTATAATTACAGTGCAATTTTTGGCTCTTTGAAATTAAATGATAGGAGTACCGGAGGGGCTTGATTTGGGAGGACATTTCGCTTCCATATTTCCTGTTCATCAACTCTGTGTAGGTCATCAGGACTAAAACCTTTTCACTGGTGTAGTGTTTCGGCCACTCCATCTTGTCATAGGCAAATTTCTGCAAAACACAACACAAACTGTCACATGCAGCTCACTGAGCAGATCACTAGACAAATCGTTAAAATAAAACCAGCACCTGCATCAAAAGCAAATTTGGCTGTCTCCTCTTGAAATGAGATACAGGCTTATCCTTGGCGATCAGAAACTCACTGATAATCTGCAAAGTGCAATTCAAGGATTAAAACCGTACAATTCATTATACCAGCTATGAAAAAACTAATATATAAACCAAAGTTGGAAACAACTGTACCTCTGTAAAAGGGAACTGTTGACTTGCGAGTGTTTTCCTGAAAAAGACACACTTGTAAAATGAACAGAATACACATAATGCAAACTATCCTGTAAAATCATTGGAAGCTTCCAAAGTCATTTCAGTACTCAAGTAGCATGATCAGTTATTTCACTTCCTTAGACTGATAATGGCCATTGCTCAACTTCCTATAATGCTACTAGTTTATCTCCTTTTTAATAAGTTGCCTTTATGTTCTTGCTTTCTCATGGT